ATCTAAAAGAAATTAACACTTCATTTCCACATTTTTACCAAATGAAAAATCTATCAGTTATCTGGTATTAGTGATGAAAAACAATTAACACCAAACTGTTAAGATATACCCTGAAAACTTTTACATAACATTTTATGCAAATCATGATTAGAATGTAAAAATAAAGGAAAACAAACACTTTTAATGAAAAATTATATAGAGATGAATGAACAAGAACATATCAGTAGTTGAGGTAAAACTATTAAGAATTTACATACAAAACTGTATATTTATGCACTATTTATATAGTTTGTCTTAAATTTTGTTCAAAGCTACATGAGAGCTATCTGCCCTAGCCATCACCACCCACCGCCAACTATTGAGCTTCTCTTTTACCAAAGAATAGCGGTATTGATTGTCACCTCCACAGCTGAAAGGGCGAGCATGTTTGGTGGGATGGCGATTTGAACCCACAACCCTCAGATTGCGAGTGGAGCGCCCTAACCACCTGACCGTGCCATGCCATTTATATAGATGTACACTGAAAATGTTATTATACAGTTTCACACAAAAGAGTATGTGCAAAAATAAATAAAACTGTGGTTCAACATTGTCACCAAAAAGTTATCTGAAGATGAATAACCAAGTATAGATCAGTAGTTGAAACCAAACTGTGACGAGCTTACATATAAACTGTATAGTTGTTCAGACAAATACCGAAAACTTTGTACATACATCTTGAGCAGATGTTGAAACAAAAGATATGTATACTTAAAACTGAGCACAGTAATGTATAATGAAAAAAAACAACAACAATTATATTCAAGGTACACAAAAAAATGGAATTTGTACACTTTTCAAAAACATATGCATAGTCGAATATGTGTTTGTTAAATTACCAGCTGTACAAAAAGTGAAATCAACATTTTGAAAAACACTACAAAGTTAAAGTTCTAAGCCATTAAAAAATTTGATTTGCATTTGAAACAAAAGGAAAAATATAAATATACACTCTGGGTGATGGTGAAAAAAACAAAAAAAAAACAAGGTGTCATAAACATCAAACCTTAACTAAAGAAACTTGATAAATTGAAACAAAAGGAAAAATATAAATATACACTCTGGGTGATGGTGAAAAAAAACAAAAAAAAACAAGGTGTCATAAACATCAAACCTTAACTAAAGAAACTTGATAAATCGGATAAACAGAGTAAAATTTAAAGAAAGTACAATGTTTCACCAGGTTAACCTGATGATGCCAGGGGTCAGGCTGTAGTTAAAAAAGTAAAAGGGGTCAGATTGAGTTTTACTTTAATCTTTACTAAAAGTGCTTCCCAGGTGAGAGCCATTCATGTGTGTCTGCCAGAACTGGTGATTGAATACTTGACAAACGAGAAGGCTCTTCTCTACCTTCAGTTAGTGGTTTCACAAGGTATTCCACTAATTGTAAACGGAAGACCTTCTGTTTGTACTTGCCCTGGCTAGTTACCTGTTTGAAAAGTATGAAAGAATTAACAATAGACAGGTCAACAAGTCTAAAGAAAAGTTTCTTATATCATTTGACAGTTTTACGTGGAATGGAATAATAGCTAAGAAATTGATCATTACGATCAACTCCTCCCATAAACTTGTTGTAAACCATGATTAGCTGTGGCTTGATAATCATGTCACCCTGTCTTCTTGTCACTTCTGTTACTGTAGCACTATGCATTGTAGAAAGAGCATAGATAACTCTTTTATTAGTCCATTTCACAGCAGTCATTGAGCCACAGTTGAAAAACTGTGACTATCTCCTTTTTAACTTACCTGTAAACATGTCTGGGAAGTGGGCCCTGTCCTTCCTACAAGTGCCACAAGCATAAGTGCCAAGTGAAAGCAACTTATCAAACAATGTTGGAGATGTATAAAAGTTGTCAGTAACGACAGAGTGTCCCTTTCCAAGGTACTTTTCCATCAAAGTCTTTACAACTGTGCTCACCAAGTCCTTGGTAGGTACAGATCTCTCTTCACCACAATATATTCTAAACTTTAGACAGAACCCAGTCACAGCTTCTGCCAAAACCCATAATTTGATGCCCCACTTGGTAGGCTTGTTAGGTAGATATTATTTAAATGAAATTCTTCTCATTTGTTCATCAACATATAGCTCCCTAAAAGGGTTATAGTGAGCTGAAAAGGCTGATAGTAGATGATCAAGCACAGGCCTGAATTTGAAGAGTTTGTCATGCTAAGCATCAGTTTTAGGTAGATTATTAGTGTTGTCATTGAAATGCTGGAAGCCAGCAATAGTTAGGAATTTATCTCTGCGAAATATTGAAGAAAACCAGCGTAAATTAAATAAAGGAGCAGTAGACCGATAATCAGAAAGAGATGGTAAACGAACTATACCCATGCCAATAGTAATACCAATAAAAGCTGTATCTAATCATTTTTATTTTATTTTTGAGAGTAATATTTATGTTTTCCCATTGCTGTTGTGCAAATCTCTTAGTTTCTTCAGCAATTTTGGTGACAATGTTGATGGTAAAAAAAAAT